TGGGGGGGGGGAGATAGTGAGCGTGTCCTAACAATGATGTGTACGCAACTGCGTATCTGCATATCTGCGCCTAACAAATGTGTCACTACGCACAACTGAAATTGTACGTTCATAACCGTAGCAACAGACCCCAGATGAGCCCAGACGCTCTGCGGCTCTTGTTTTTATTTCTAATTACCACGACATTTGCGCTTTGTTCATTGTGCCCAGCTGTTTAGAGCTATATACTGGCGAGTAGCGTTATGTGTCCACCTACGATATTCGCAAAGATTCATGCGTCCAATTTATGCTGCACATAGGCTTTTTATATGAATGTGAAGTTATGCCTGGTATACTCATAATAATATCAGTAATATGTCATATGTCATAATATTATGTCTTCTGGTTACTAACTGAGATATTCTATTCCTGGTCGCAAATGCGCATATGATGCACTTATGATACAGTCTTTAAATAATTTCGTTAAAATAAAATTATAATATTTTCAGCCTTAATTTGATAAAACTTCAGAAATGTTGTTAGCTGTCAGCCTGTCACGTCAACGTTGCCTCGAGCTACATGCACGCTAAATAGTGACGTAACGGCCGACTAATTGGATCGGAACTCTGTGCTGTGTAGCTGTGGGCATGCGCGAGTGAGTGAGCCCGCATGTGTGCGCTCGTACCAGCCTCCCCACACGCAGTACTGCTCGTCAGTGCGTGTGAGCGCGTGTGTGCAATACGCAGAACCGAATAGAATCGAGTAATGCCGATGCGCAGAACTTATACGTCACGATGTTGAAGCTGGAAACCCCGTAATATAGTTTGTCAGCGGTAGGTTTTCCGTGCTGCAGTCGGAAGTACATGGACGAATTCGGTGCCCGTGATGAGTTGCTACGCCGCATGAGCTATGTCGTGTGGCGAGACTGAAATAGAATCTAATAGTTGTTTGCGTTGCAATGCGATGGAAAATTCGTCGAGCCGAATCTAATAGTTGTTTGCGTTGCAATGCGATGGAAAATCCGTCGAGCCGAGAACTGCTGCAGCTGCTGCTCCTGCATCTGAACACGTGGACAATAATTTGACTGACTTCTTGACTGACTAACTTAGAAAGGTGGGTAAGTTCGCTTCGTTGTTCCACGCGATGCATATATAACAAACAGATTCGAGATGGTTCGGTAATGTCTAATATTGCCGTGAGTATGCGTGTGTGTTCGTGCGCGGGTGCACGCGTGCGTGCATGTGTTTCCATGTATATATACTTGTGTGTGTGGGCGGGGGGGGGGGGCGTTTCAGGATGCGCGCGCGCGCGTGTGTGTGTGCAACGTTCCTAGCGGATATGCGTGGGTCGTCGTGTGTGGGTGGAGCGTGTAAGCGGTGGGGGCGGGGGCGTTGGTGTGCGCGCGCGCGCGCGCGTGTGTGTATGTGTGTGTGTGTGCGCGCGTGGGTGCGTGCGTGCATGTCCATGTGTGAAGGGAGCGTGTGGAGGGGAGCGTGTGTGCGTGTGGAGGGGCGGTGTGTATGGGGAACGTGGGAAGGAGGAGTGTGAGCCCTGGTGTATGTCTGAACTAAAATTTGTGCTAGATGCGAGAAGAATGTTGAAAAAATGAGAGAAAATTTGTGCTGCGTAGAGAAGATAATATAAACTCAAGATGAGCTGAACGGCGTGATACGACTAATTTCAGAACGGGTAGGAGACGTGTGTACATTTTACACGCGGTTTCATTTGACAATGCAATTATATCCTGCAGTCACTGACGTGTTTAGAAATATTTTAGTGCTAATTAATTACCAGCAGTACGTCGTTGTTCCTAACATATTAATAGGAACATGTGCGTGCATGATATTCTTCTGGTTATTGCGTATAAAATAAAGTGGAAGTTGAGAACGTTACGTATACACAAAATGTCTTGTTTGCGAGAAGACGCGCTGTGACATTGAATCTATGCAGGCCTAACACCAGAAATGCATCGATCATTTATCCCCTGAGATGATACATGTAAACGTATCGGTTGACCTAACAGTATCTTGGCTTTATTTGCCACCGTAGGCGTTCGAGGGGGCATATGGTGTTGGGCTCTCTCTGATGTCCCTACAGTGTCGCATGACTATTTCGCTTTTATATAAGTAAGGTAATTTGAACGTTTCCTGCAGTTGATCTTTATAGCATTACATCCCTTGCGAATCCCGTTAAGATACATACGTTTAATTTCGTTTCTAAGATTCCCGCTGTCATAGAAAATTAACTAAATAAGATAAGCTGTTCCTATCTTATAATTTTGCCCACATGGCGTGTTACAGGCTTACTTTCAACCGTAGCTCCGTTGGAGGCAATTGCATACAATCAAGGCAGACATTGACTAGGATTTACCGCGTAGAGTATGTATTTTACATTTAAACTGACGACGTGGGATTCTAGCCCGCTGTGTCGTTTGCAGTTCTTTCTTGTTACTAGACATGTGTCCATAAATATTTTTTGAATATTTATATTTTTCAAGTTCAAAGCTTCCCTTTATCGTGGTGCATGTTCTTAGGTTGCTATGATACCCCCTTTATCTCCTTTCCCCACTTTATGAAAATAGAGCCCCGCACACATATACACAGAGAAGCCGAAGAATGGCTGCATGTGAAAGCTCGAGCAGCTGTTACCACACACAAATTAAAATTCGCATATATTTCACATCGTCAATTCCCCAGTAAAGGTTCGGTATATAGATTTATATAATTATATATATATATATATATATATATATATATATATATAATTATATAAAATATAAATATAAATAAATACATAAATATTAACAGTGATATTAAGCAAATAAGACATCGGCACGGTGATTCAGAAGCGTTTGCGTAATCAACGGGAAACATTAGTAGCGTACAACAGAAGTAGGCCTAGTAAACATGAAACGAGCCCGCGGCTAGCCGTAACTGCTGCTTTATATGATGTGGCACGTGGCACCCGCAATTACGAATTTTTCACCCCAATTCCTTATGACAATGATTCCAGCCTAAATACTATTACGATAATGATTAGCCCAAGGCTGCACTTATGAAATATACAACACGCGTTGGGTTGGCGTACGTGAGTGTATGGTCTATATTATAAGCGCAATTATTGCGATTGTGTGTGTTTGATATGCGTGCGTGCGTGCGTGTTTGCGTAGTGCTCAATAGGGCTCATAGGGTCTATGTTCACCAGGGTACTATCGGAGGGTACCCTGGGTACGGTTCGATATATCGGAAAATACCTCGGGGTACTATACGATATGTTGCTGCTTACTATGCATTGTCCCACCGTACCCTGACTTTCAGCCAACTGATGTCGTAATACATACACTCTGTCAAGTTACCACATCACATAGAAAAAAACTCAAAACATCGCAATCCAATAAAAATGTAAGCTTTATTTTTGTTTTACAACATCGGAAATACGTTCATATAAAGTCAGGGTACGGTGGGACAATGCAGGGTACGCAGCGACATATCGTATAGTACCCCGAGGTACTTTCCGATATATCGAACCGTACCCAGGGTACCCTCCAATAGTACCCTGGGGGACATAGACCCTATCAGCCTCAGTAGGGCTCAATCACTATACTGCAGGTGTGAATGAATGGTGAGGTGCTGGCGAGGACGAAAACGGGGGAGGTGGCGGGGAGGTCGTCCCTCATCTAGTACATGCATGCATGGGGGGGAGAGGTGGTGAGATTATTTTTAAGCTGAGCGTGCGTGCGCCAGCCATGAGAAAGGTTCGTCATTGTTGTATCACAACCAGCGTACGCCACGGATTATTTTAAAACTGCTAATCAAAAGGTGAAATTAATTAGCGATTAGATTAAATTAGTTAGCGAGTATCGCAAAAAACGTAAACGTAATTATTTAAACGTTATTATACTGTAAACAGGATCGTTTTACGAGTAACAAAACGATCTGAGTTCTATCCAAATTAAAGTTCAGTGAAGTATACAATTCATTCCAAGTTACGGCAACAATTTTACCGATTTGCAGTTTGCTAATCCATATGAAATATAATTCGCAAAGGTTTAAAATTGATTCAAAAATGGGATGCAAACCCGATCACGGCGTAAACAGATCCCAGCATTGTCTTGTTTCATAGCCGAGTCTGCCTGCCGAGCCAGCTATCAGAAAGGTTGCCGCCATGCTTTACTTAATTGACGCGTCCGTACAGACGAGCATGCACTACCATATTCAATAGTCATACCAATGAGAGTCCGTTTGTCAGCTATAAGAAAGCATATACTCTTCACAGATTTCTAAACGTGACTACGACCATGGAGGCTCGCAGCACTACGTGCTAAAAAGCACATGCGCCAACATTTTCGACAGCCCAACATATTCTGATACGACACCGGGTCCCTATACTTCTACGCATGCAGTTAAAGGCTCTTTACTTGCATGACACACGTACAGCAGCACGCGTGATCACTTTCGCCCCACATTTGGT